GTTGTCCGATATAATATATACATATTTATGTTAGCTTCAAAATTATATCTGACACAGAGTCCGACTCTGAAATATCAAAGATTGAAATGATAATAATAAAAAAAAAAAAAAAATAAAGAAAGAAACAAAAAATAAGGGAGGAAAGAAAGAAAAGAGAAGAGCAAAGTCGCGTCCTGAATTTTTCAACGATTCTGCTATACCACTGACGCAATTTTAATAGAGTCACTAGTCGGAGATAAAACTCACTCTTTTGGTCTCTTTGCTGAGCGAAATGGAGTGCGACGGAGTGGAAAATAGGATGTGCGATTTTCGAAAGCTAACAGGACGTTGAAAATGATAACGATAGTAATAACGGGTGGGCCTCGCTAAGAACGATAACGTGGAACCACCGAGTGTATGCCGGTATTCCGGTAACGATAAGAAACACGTGCCTTCCCATTTATTCTCCATTATTACCTTTCGCGTTGAACACTTTTCGAGACGATGTTCTACCACTCTCTCCCTTTCTCTTTTTAGTTCTTTTTAATACCCTTTTCCTTTTTCTATACCAACTGTGTATCGTTTGATCGAAAACGAACAGATATTCCACTTTAAGAAGCCAATATCCAATGATTCGAAACTGAAACAGCGTTGCTACTATATTATACTCTTCATCTTCTTCTTATTCCTTGGCTACAATCTCACAATGAATTACTACTACTCGCTATCGTATATCTTTCTTCTAACGTCTATAAAATGGTATATACACGTGACCGTGTTACGTCGTCTTTAAAATGATTAACTTTCTACAAAGAAATTTTCTTTTCTCCCTCCGTTTCTATCATATATACGTTCTCTTTGAAAAGAAATTTAATATAATAGGAAATTTAGCGTATCCATTGAATTACTTAATACGTTGTATTAGAAATTTACCATTTTTTTTATTTTTTTACATATTTTCTGTACATCGAGAAGTTCCTTTGATCGATGCATTACTTTTTTTTCTTTTTGCTCTCTATCTTTCTCTCCTTAATCAGAAACTTCTTTCATGCGTGCGCATGTATACGTAGTAAGTATATTGAAAAGTGTGCGTATGCACAGTTACGTTTAAACGAGAAAGAAAACAGGCAGGTGGAAACTCGAGACAAGTTTTTCAGGTCATTAAACAAATGCGTTCCTACCGAATGCAACACGGACCAAAGCCGTTAGAAGACGTACTCGAGATAGTCATAATGTTAGTTCTCTCTTGTTCAAATGGGAGGCAATGTGCTTTTAAGTCGTGGCCATGTTCATCAACGAAATACTATACGCTCGTCCTTCTTCGCGCGTGCGCACACGCGCACACACACAAACATATACACGCTCAACGTTTTTCTCATTTTATGAGAAGCTGCCTTTCTCGCAACAGGTTTACGATCAGGCAAGCGTAAATTTTTAGTGGTATTTTTATATCCGGTTCGCATTACGACCGCGAGCTTTTCTTCCTTCCTCTTTAGTTATTTTAAACTCCTCCACCCACAATTCCCCTTCTTCCTTCTTCTTCTGTACTCTTAAACCCCTTCGTCACGATCGTATTAAAGAGGATCGTAAGACGCTAGAAATTTCTAGCAGGATTTTATTACCATCTTCTTTCTTATACCTGCATTATGAAAACAACTAAAGATGAAGTCAAATTCCTCTATTTGTTCTGATTTTTCAACAAGACGAGAAATGTTTCTAAGGAACAACGGTCAGAAATCATTTTTCCGTTAATCGATCCTTCTCTCTTATGGAAGAAAAATATTATGAACATGACAAGGATGTCTTTATTAACGCAAAAAGAATCATTTGATAGGTAACATAATTTTAGGACTGAAAAGCAAGGAGTACAACAGGAGATACGTGCATTGCAGAGATTCATACGTCCGTAATAATAATTAATAATATTCACTATATTCAAATGATCGATCAATCCTTATATTTATTATCATTTATTATTATTATTATTATTATTATTATTAGTATTAGTATTATTATTATTATTATCTTGCATGTTCATTTTCAAAAATGAAAGTCCGCCATATAAAGATCGTCGCCGTTTTAAAGAAGTATCGGCGCTTATCCTAATTTAACCTAATTAACAAATGAAAATTATTGACTCGAAAACTTGCAACTTCATAGAAATTTATTTGATTATTTTTTCGACTAATTGTAAGTATTTCAATGAGTCTCCCGCCACGGTTATAAACTCACCTAAGTCGGTAAGACAAGGAAAGTGTCTTTTAATTACGTTGACTTTTTTACGTGTCTTTTAATTACGTTCCTATTTTTTCTTCTATTTATTTTGGTTTGTTAATTTCTTTCCTCGTACATCCTCTCATAATCATCTCAGTAATTTATACAACGTCGTTGAAGATTCGCCGTAGGCGAAGTTTGACAAATTTTCTTGAGAATGAGATTAGAAATATGTTTTTATTTATTTTATTATTTTGTTATTCCGGTTTTTTCTTGGAAAGGGTTCAATGTAAACCTTAGGTAGTGTATCGTAGTATATCATTTGATATTATATATGATATATAAATATATTTATATATCGTAATTATATAGATATAATAATAATATATCTATATATATATATTATACGAGACGTTGTTGTGCTCCTGTAATGCAACAAATGTCTGTAACAGATGTAAGGCATGCATTCGCATAGTAAACGTTTATATCATCTCATATTTATATACCCGTACATATATTCATACCTACGATATGTTCATACGTATCATATAGCATATACTATATATATGTTAGCGTTACTAATCTCGTTATTTCCTAAGACAACCAGTTTTAGTGAATAACCAAATTCTTTTATATACCTTCCCAAAACATCTAGTTATTTTCAATGAAATCTAGGGTCTCCATGATTACTTAAATTCTTCAATTTAACGCTGACATATACATGTATACGCGTGTGTAAGCATATATATTATATTATATTTATATCAGAGCAACTTGGAATGACGATGAAAGAGTTAAACGAGTATTTCACATTTTTTCTTCGTATGCCTCAATTTTTATGTGTTTCTCATCGTTAAAAATATTAGAAAAATATCGTTTGCGTTGTTGTTCTTGCTGTTATTTCTATGCACTGTATTTTTATATTGTCGTCAGTACTTTTTTACTTGGAATGTTGCTTGCTCATACAAATAGACATACACACACACACACACATGCGCGCGCGATCACACTCAATCAATATTAAAAAAGTACTTGAACGATATTGACTTTTTGTAATCGTTATATTTTTCTAACACTTCTCGCATGATATCTTTCTTACTTATCAGGAATGTCATCATCTCGTTTCATTACTCACACATCTCTTTAATTATTATTATTATTATTGTTATTATTATTATCGAACATTTATTTAAAATGCTTCGTATCTCTTTTATTCAATTTATCGTCTCTTTGCATGCAATTTTATTACTTACATTTTTATGATTTGTCGAGAATATATTTTATTTTAATTTTTTTGTTTTCAATTTTTTTTACAGATGAGAGCACTTTCTTCGTTTCAATGGCCAGTCTCGCACGACCCGTTATTTTCTTACTTTCCTTTCTTCGGAAGCACACGCACAACATTTCTTGATTTGACTGCATTGACGGTTTACGTTTGATTTTGCGAGAGATACGACATCGTCAATTCAAGTAACTTAGTAGTATTATAGATACGTACATATATCTATATATGTATATGAAATGTATTTTTCATATACATATATATGTATAAATATTAATTACATATTATATCATCATGAAATTGTTAACATATTGTTGTTTAAACATTCTTAGTGATTGCGTAAGTATGCAGTATAGACATACGTTGAAATTTGCATGCGTTTTTTAAGAAAAAATGATTAATAAAACACGTAAGTACGTAATGCGTACTTGATTGGTACGAAAGTAAATAACTTAAAGAAAAATGGATAGATCAATTTCTTGATCTCAATCCTCTCGACGTCTTTTAATTCGAACAAATGATTTTGTCAAAGATAATTCTTTGACAAGTATCAAAATCGAACAATTAATCCGATCGTTTATCAATAACGGATGTAATTGCTTGGTCTTCGGTGTGTCCTTCAAAAACATTGATTGATATCTTCCTATCGTAATAATTTTGCAACGCAAAATGTCTGCGTTTATAGATCGTAGATAAACGTTTAAAGAAAAGTTCTGTACCATCCTACGTGTCGTTCTGCTATTTCTTTCTCTATCTCTTTGCCGATATTGACGTTAGCTTGAGTAATTTTCAAACACGTAATAACCTGAAATGTATTTCATGGAAATACTAGACCATCGTCGACGTAGAAACGTTGACGAAAATCGTTGGAAGATCTACTGGTTTTCGTCGGCAGCGTTAACTCTGATATTTCAGGAACTAGAAATATTTTCATCTCGATAATACATTTTATCATCCACCGATTTATTCTCCCTTTTTCCGTTGATTATTTTCGAATTTGATATTTGATTACGATTCCTTTCTATCGAAATAATTCATGAAATGGTTAAAAATTTATCCAAGGTATATACCATTTCGAGGATAAATTCGTGACGTGATTTTAACAGTAGTCTTCCAATTTGCAGTATAACGTTTCAAAATTATTCAATTTTTCCTTTTTTTTTTGTTTCGTTTACACGAAATTATTCCGAATATAATTATTTAAATATCTTTCAAATATATCTAATTTCAAATAAATATCTAATCGGATTAAGATTTTCTCGTGGTATATCTTTTCGTGAAAGGGAACGAAAGAGAAAAGGATAGAATGATATATATATATATTGAAGGTGACACAAAGAAGAAGTAAGAAAAAAAGAAAAGGCGTAATCGACGTCGATTTAAAGTTCACTTCGACGACTCGAAATAAAAGAAACGGGTCGACGTCGAGCGGATCGGGAAAACACAGAGGGATCCGAATGAAATTCTGATCGAACTCGCGCTCGACCAGCCGAAAGATTTTAAGCCAATTGGATCGTATTTTTAGTACCTCCGAGGTGGACCGTGGAACCTATCGACCAGGATGCCGTTGTAGGTTACGGCGTCTCCATTGCTTGTCAAGCCGAAGGATTCCCCATTCCGACTGTGACTTGGAAGCAATCTATTGGTAAGTCACGACTTCTTAAAGCTTCAATCTCTCTCTCTCTCTCTTTCTCGCTTTCTTTCTACTCCTTCTATATCCTTATGGTGAGAAACGTCCTTCTTTTATATATATATATATATCTCTGTCTCTCTTTCAAGTGTCACGAAGACTTGACTAGAAATCGGGCCAACTTCAAAGCTGAATTCCCTTCGCTCATCTCTTCTTCTTCTTCTTCTCTTCTACCTCATTTTTCATCTTTAACAATTACGTAGATGGAAAACTTTCTCGTTCTCGTTTTCATGGCCTCTTCCTATTCTTTTTTTTTGAAATTTTCCTTATCCCGATCGTTACGTTCATATGTAATATATATTTCCCTATTCCTTACACTTTACAATGTGAAGTAATAACGATTCATAATCTTTTAAATCCTCCCTTTTTCTCATCAAATGCATCCCCTTCGTTTTATATATAAAAAAAAAAATTACAAAAAAAAAGCCAGCACGTCAGTCAACGCATTAATATTTACCAAGCCTACTTATTCTCTATCCCGTCAAAATTAACTTCGTTATATAATATTCAAGCTCGCATTGAATTACTTCGGATCTTTATTTTTACGTTCTTTTTTTTTTTGTTATTTTTTTAAAGCGTTAATTGATGTAAACAAAACATCGATACAATATACAGATACTTTCTTTGCGTATATGTATATAGATATATATATCTTTTTATTTCACCCCATCTCTCCTCTCTCTCTTTTTCCTTTCGAGTCTTTATTTTATTTCATGAAGTTCGAGTAGTCTAATAACTTTTGACAGTTTTTATGTCGATCGAGTTTGACGTCTGTCTGATATAAAATGGCTTTCATTAAGTTACACCAGGTGGTAGGCGAAGGAATAAGGGAGAAAGAGAAAGACGACAAAAGGGTACGGTTCACGATCTATTACGAAATTCGCTGATCGTCCATTCTCAGCAGTTTCATTCAGTTCGAAATAAGCCCTTCGGCTGACAAAGCGGTTGGATAATTAGTTTCATCAATACATTGATCGTCGACATGATATTTCATCGATAGTTGAATTGCCTTCGTTTTAAAACTCCTTTTTCTTTCTCTCATGCAACGAATAAAAATTGTTCCAAGTTATTATTATCTCTATCTCTCCCTCTCTCTCTCTCTCTCTCTCTCTCTCTCTCTCTCTCTCTTTCTCTCCCTCTCTCTCTCTCTCCCTCTCTCTCTCTTTCTCGCTCTTCTATCTTTTCACGAATATTGTTTTTCCTTTTTTTTTTATTCTTTTTGTTTTATACATTCTCATTTTCTTTGAAATGAGAAAGTCAGAACAGCGAGTATTTTGTTCGGTAAAGAAAGAAAAAACTAAATAAATAAAAAAAGAAAGAAAGAAAAAATCCTGAACGTTTCGAGTCCAACCTTACACCGTTTAAAGAGACGATATTGAAACGTTCCTTTTCCTTCGGGTGGTTACATGCATGCATACATACATATATACGAAGATTCGAAGTAGATACTGTCGTAGTCAAAGGGAAGGGGATTTCAGATGATTTCGATCAGCCATAAAGGTATGCAGGCCACGCGAGTTCTAGCTTCCTTCGACGAATTGCCCGATTCAAGAAAGGAATCTCTTCACGTCTATTATAAATTCGTTGCATAGGTATTACGATTTTTCTAAGCGTATTGTGCATACCAAACTTCTTCTTATTTCGTTTCATTCTTTTATCAACTTTTAGATTTTCCTCCTCCTTATTTATCTTTTCTTTCTTATCCTTCTTTTGATATTATCGATTGAGTTAGCTTATCGTCAAAATATATTTAATGGGAAAAGAAAGATATATATATATATATATATTTCGGAGTTTTTTCAAAATGAAACGTGTATTTAGTTCCTAGCAAAGGAGGAGAATGACAAGAAAGATGAGGGAAGAGGATGTGACGTCATTTTAAGTTGTAGAACATACAAACTACAACTATTATTACCTCCTTCTGCTCTTACAATGTGGAAGTTTGGAAGATTAAGTTCTTATAGTCAGACAGTTGTGAAAGTGCGTGCACGTGTACGTGCACAGTACCGAAAGTGATGATCAATTCATGAACATACGAACATACACACCTGTCGTGGTTTGTTTAACTTACAATAGCTTGAGATTTTCTTTCTCTCTCTTCCCTGTGCTCTAAACATACTCCAATGAAACATATTTTATAGATAAGACAAAACCCCTTGGGCAATTTATACAATGCCCTGGAATATATGCATTGACCGTAACATATATATTAAATTCAATGAATAGTATTCATCGAAATCAATTACTTCGAACGAAAGATCACGTTCTCTCCCTACAAGAAACTGACGATTGAAATTCGAGTTCCGTAATAATTAGCGATCGTTATTGGTATGAAGGAAGGGTGGTAAATAGAAGGGTGAGAGTAAACGTGTCTTTCCGAACATTTAGGTGAAACACCAGGCGACTATAGGGAGCTAGGATACAGCGGTACGGAGGGAGCAGGGGTTGCCGGAAATGGGTCCTTGGTGATTCTACGAGTATCAAGAGATCATGCCAGCTCCTATCTATGCCAAGCGAGCAACGGCATTGGACCTGGCCTCAGCAAGCTCATTCGCCTAACGGTTCATGGTAAAATATTCATGTTGCATTGGGTTATACCTCTAGTTGCTGTACCTACGTCAATTAGCAAGAGACGTCCAAGATATCCCTTCAAATTTCTGTTATGAATAGCTTTCTATGTATCTATCTATCTATCCATCTATCTAATTCATTTCTATATTGATGAACTATTAAACAAGAAATATTCAAGATAAGAAATGTATAATAATAAAATAGTAAATATATGTGTATGTGAAATATTTCTATTAATTGTTAATTAAATATTGGTTAACTTCTCAAAGGATGTTATATAATTGGTCTGATGGTTTGGTAAACAGCGGGTCCTCAGGTGACAGTAAGAACGAGGCAGGAGTCGGTGAGAAGAGGAGATAGCGTAACGCTACGATGCGAAGCTGAAGGAGACTCTCCTCTTGATCTGAGCTGGCGTGTTCGTGACAGTAGGGTCGATCCTAATTACGACGTTAGGTGCGTATAGAAATTAATCATGCGCAACCCTACTGAGAGAAACGTGTAACGCTAATATATGATAATATATATACCGTTACATTTCAACTGGGGGTTATCTCTGTCTCAGGATCTTTGTTTCATTTCTTTAACGAGTCTATAATGGTTGAACTTTTAAAAAAGGTGTTAATGTTTGTAAATTTAAAATTAAATCGAGTGAAGAATTATTTGATTATTATTAATTATTTGGTTTTGATTTGTTTCTTCTTTTCTCTCCACCATGTTTAGATACAACATAGAAAAGAACGTAATAGGCGGTAGAGTACTATCAGAATTGAGAATAATCCAAGTCAACCATATGGACCGTGGAGATTATATTTGCGCTGCTAGCAATGCTTATGGTCGCGATCATGCTACGATCCACTTGCTGGTCCAAGAACCTCCAAACTTTCCGAGGAATGTGCACGTGGCAGAAAAAGGTAGCCGTTCGATTCTCATAGCTTGGTCGTCACCACAAAGCGATCAAGACGCAAGTCATGCGAGCTCACCGATCACAAACTATATCGTACAATACAAAGAAGCACAGGGTGAGTTTCCTATAATCGAAATGAATCATCAAAATAAGATATACATCTTCTACATTATTCTTATAAAGATCTCACATTATCGATTCATCCCGTCATTCAATTCTAAACCTATTTTCGATCGATACTTTCGAATTGTTTCTTTCTTCGCTCTTCGGACTCGTTTGAACGATTTGTTAAGTACTACTACACCTCCTATCTACACAATATTTTCCTATACGTATAGAAACAGTTCATATTGACTGTTCAAAAATACAACAAACAGCAACAGTTCGATGTAACCTGCGTGTGTTTTCCTACGTTATTTTACTTTACAATAATTAATTGAAATATCAAACGTTTTCGAAAGTCAACAAGACGTGTAATTGATACGCATGCGTACGTAATTATAATGTAATCACTATAATATATTCGTAAAGAAAGAAAGAGAAAGAGAGATCGATAATTATACAGTTTATCGTAACACGTAACGAACATTTACATATTGCTAGTAATAATAAGCTGTACATAGACGACACGCGCGGTATCATTTTATTCGCATATGATTAGAGACTGGCTGTGATTTCCTTCTTCGTAATGTTCGTTTGTGGGAACACAAGTGTTGCAATTTTGCCCGTTGAAAAGCTCATGTATATCTTTCTGTCTTTATCTCTCTCTCTCTTGTAAAACGACCGATAGATGTTGCAACGGGATGAGATTATATAGCGTAATATTGTAACCTATCTAGCGCCGTGTGATCGAGGAGGATTCATGTACCGCATGAATGCGTCAGGGAGCCGAATGGGACGGAGATTGAAATTCGATCGAATTATTTTCTACTTTTCTCCTTTTTCTCTTGTTTTTCTTATTCTTTCTGCACGTTGAAAATATAGCGATACATCGAGTAGGCGTAAATAGTATTATTCCTTTGCTTCGTACAACATAATATATTGAAAAGTAGTTAGATTTCATTCATATTACATTTTCTTTTCGGGAAGTTTTTTCTTCTTATATTGAAATATGCAAACTAATGTCAATGATAAATTTAAACAGTCGTATTTTTATCGAATTACTTTTTATATAAGTAATTGTTTTTATCAATTTCCTAATAGGAATTTCATTTAATTTTCTCTATTTTATGCTACCTTTATTTATCCAGGAAACATAATAATTTATATTCCTCGTAAATATATATGTGCCCATAATTATGAAAGTGGTCTAAGTCATACATCTCTTGTTTCGAGATATTTAAAGGATTACATTTGAACATTATAATTCCTAATTTTTTCACGAATCCTACATATATATATGTGTGTGTGGTGTATACATATACGCGTGTTCGTATTTGCGTGTGTATGTGTGTCGTGTGCATGTATTGTGCATAATACGAAGAAAAATGTAATTACTTTAATTACGTGTCGAGGACTTCGATTTTATCATTTTGATGAGACAATAGAGAGCCGATATAATACCGTATTTACATATTTATATATACACACATATGTATATATAAATCATGATATTCTACAACAATTCTCGATTGTTAAAATGAGATTCGAGTGTATAACAATAACAAATTTCAATTGTATTATACTTTTTATACATTTTTATATTTTTTAAAGAATGTAATATTTTATTTCAAAGTTATAACATTATTCATAGAGAAATTCGATCTAAAACGTTCTAAGTTTCATAAATTGGGAGTTTCGTAAGGTAAAAGGGCACAAAGCAATCGAAATCGATATCTCTTTCATGTTTCCATAAAAATCTTGACAAACAAAAATCGCCGGTTTAGGTTATTCCTATTTTAATGTGAAAAAGATTCTCGTTGAAAATGTAAACCCTTAGTTTATACGCTCGTTAAAATCGGATAAATTCTCGTTTGTGTTTAATTAACTGAAATAAACCTATTTCGTCTAAACGTTGCTAAGATATTTGAGTTAATGTGCGAAGTAGGAAGAAAGGAAAATGAATAATATGACGGTCATTATGATGGTGAAATTGACGACAAAAGTGGTAAGTTTTTTTTTATTTATTATTTTTCATCTTACCCAAGAACATATCAAATTGAAGTTCGTCCTGATTAAAAAGAAGATTCTTTTGAACCAGTTCGATTAACTTGGCTCGCTTTCTCAATTGTTCTCTTATCCTCATTTTCACTCGCTCAGCAATTTAATTAGAAATTGACTTGGTTAAAGAGGAAATAAATAACTACGGTATTTACCGGTGGTGTGAGCTTTTCCCGAAGTTAATTGATATTAAGACGGCACAATTGGAAGTCGAACTCCGAGAGTGACATAAGAAGCGGTTCGCGTAAATTCATCTTCGGAGTCTTGGGAAATGAAGTACGTTTAATTACACTTCCATCAGCGTAGAGAGTAAATACGCGTTTCGCGACGAAGTTATCAGAATTCTACACTACGTATTCAAAAGAGAGAGAGAGAGAGAGAGAGAGAGAAGGAAAGGGGATAGAAATGAAATGGGATGAAAGCTTTTCGTTCAACGATCCGAAGCAATCCGATAATGGTTTATCGTTATCTTTTTTTAAAAGTGAATGAAATAATTAAACATATCATATATGGTAATAAAAATGTAACGATAAACTATGACAGATTATAGAGCGAAGAAGAATATTGGAAAGAAAAAAAATGAACTAACGGTGGATTATTTCAATGGCGAAATACGTAAATGTCTAAGCGTTCTTGTTGCCTTTTGCTGGAAAGACGTGTGGCATGAACACAACACGCAGAAGCTGGTAGCAGGAGACAACACGGTCGCTCTGGTATCGCCCCTAAAACCCGCTACATCCTACCACTTTCGAGTGCTTGCGGAAAATCACCTTGGAACATCAGCGCCAAGCGACATCCTTCATGTCAGTATCAAATCAACGCACCACGCATATGCATACACATATAAATATACGTACATATGATACATACATGCGTACATACATGCATACATACATACGTGTACACCTATCGGCAATATCGCATAAAAGAGATAGACATAGGTATCTATATATAAATACATATATATCTTCTACATAGATTTTCATTTGTTGTATAATACATTAAGAGAGTAGGTAACATTTTTTCTCGCGGTCGTTATCATCGACACGGTCGTCGATCGTGGTTTCATTTTTTTTCATAAATATCAGATACACCGCTATCATTTTGGCATGTCCAATGCAGACGGAAAAATTCCAATGGCCGATTGCTCTTCCAAACGCGCGTAGAATTTCGACAACTAAGGGTCAACAAGCACTGTATATACGCGCGTGGATGCAACATTTTTCGATTACTAATAAATATTAAAATTGTACAAAAAAGAGGAGCGTTAATAGTATTTGATGAAGTACGCAGGATCTATCTGTTGCGAGATATTATACAAATTTTCCCTTTAATTGTTATTAAATGATTGTTTCATCTATCGTCAGTGAAAATTATTCATAAAATAATAGTTGATATATCGAGGTCCATCGCTAAAATAATATCGGCCATTGATTTTATTCCAAACTCGAACCGCGATATAAAAATAAATCGAATAATTGGAGTTTTTACAATAATTCCTTTCCTCTGTGGTTTTGGAACATTTCGCTTGGGTGCAGGCACAAACGGAAGGCGAGATTCCAGGAGGGCCACCTAAGCACGTTTCCGTTGAACCATTGGGACCGCAGCAACTGAAGATCACCTGGCAACCACCAGATCGATCTCTTTGGAACGGCGAGCTTCACGGATATACCATCAGCTATACCAATCTCGGGTATCGTTATCTCCTTACCACTGTTTAGGAATAGTTTCCAGTACACATCGTAGCGTCAACGTTAATTAACGGAAGCTTTCCTAGTACAGAATCATGCATCCACTTAAGTCCCAATCGATTAAACGGATTTTATGATTATCCCAACAACATGAATAGACTAAATTGTTTTTCTTTTATTATAGGAAAATCGGTTTATCTATTTTAATCGAAATGGCTTGACTATTATAATCATTCGTTTTTTGTTTTTGTTTTTTTTTTCATTTACAATAGATCTTTTTTATAAATTCTTTCTTTCATTTTATTTTTTGAATTTTATTCACACACAAGAGGACAAAATTAAATCCATCCTTTTTTTTACATTCTTATATTAATAAGAATATATTAATATTTAAATTTCTTCTTCTCTCGAATAATATTATTTCAACAGCGCATATTTGGCACTTGAAACGTGAACTTAAGTAACGATGTGTAACTTGACGATAAATTCAAAGTTGAAAGAGATGTAAATTAGTACTCGATTGGCAAGTAGCTATAAATTATTATTCAATCTATCTCATCGATAAGGTTACTTACTTTGGCAATCGTTGGAAATCAAAGGGGTTCGTTCGATGAATAATACAAAAAGGCGGCCAAATGTACAGTTAGAAGAATACTCGAATAGGGTTTATCTTTGAAATGATAAATCATTCCGTTGTATGAGTAGTTGTAGATGGGCGGGGATGGAAAGGTGTATCTACTTTTGATCACTTATAAAAATCGAAAAATCGACAAAGATTCCTTTTAAAATCCGAACGTTGAAAATGAGCAACGTCTACAAACTCACCACGTCGTTCGGCTTTGAATGGCTAACGAGCTTTTTTATCTGCTTAATTATTGTAACTGGAAAGTCGCCAAGACGATCTCTGCTTCTGAACTTCTGAAAATGAAGGTTCTATCTCTCTGCCAGAGTGGGCACTTGGAAAGTTCCGCCATTAATAAGCTTGTTCGAGTAATCGTCCGTCTTGACGCGTATGGATCACTGTTTTTCGTGCTGGCAAAACTGGAAAACGTTATTTTCTCTTTCGTTACACCCAACGAAGGGAAGGAACGAAGGAGAAGAAGGTCGAGGGGGAGGAGGGGGGAGGNGGGGGAGGAGGGGGGGAGAAGGATCTGAAAACACGTTACGGCTCGTTAACAAGTAATATTCTAGATAGAAAAGGGAAGAAAAATTGTGAGGGGAATGAAAAGACGAAAAAAAAAGAAACGAACAAAGAAAAAATGAAGTTAAACTCGCGAAAGGGAGAAAGAAAGAAGGAAAGAAATGAAATCAATTTTATTGTTATAATACATGGAAAACATTATCTGTAATAATACGTCATAAAGCGTTTGCCACTGAATCTTTTCAAGTGGAAATAATTCAATCATACTTTCACGATCGAGAACTATGAATGTATACAAAAAGAGACTGGTTGGGTTAATAATATAGATTTTATCGATTGTTCGACATTTCCCGTATTGTATTGCTCGCGTATTACAATTTTTCTTTTTCGATCTTCACGGTGGACAAAAGGGAACTTTATTTTCAACAATGTAGTGATGAAAGGTAACAGGATGAAAAGTAGATAGATTTATTAGCAGAAAGAGAAAAAGAAGGAAAAAATACAACACAATAATAATAATAATAATAATAATAATAATAATGATAATATCCATTATGACGAGTATGAAAAGGAGAGAATAAGGGTGTACCAGGTTTACTCTTTCTTTCTCGTTCCAATTTGCTGTAAGATACCTTGAGGCGTTTCGAAAACTTGCGTTTTGCGCCTCGTTTTATCTTTCCAGCCCGATAGACAACGTTCCCCATGCCATTTTATTTCAGAGGAGATGATCAATCGGTGAATACTACGCGAGTGGGTATCACAGGAAACGGTGACGGTTCCTACGATTACAGACTAACCGGTTTACGGAAATACACTCAGTATAGTATAATTGTGAAGGCATTCAATAACAAGGGAGATGGACCTGGTTCTGATGCTGTTATGGCACAAACCTTTGAAGATGGTGAGTAAATGTAGCTATTGGATATCGCTTTGCAAATAATTCTTCTGTTTCTTTTTTTCTGTCTATTTTATTTAAAGCATTTCAATAAATTTATCTATACTTATTCCTCGTATTTACATATGGCAGTCTTAAATCGTATATTTAAAGTTAAATCGTGGAAACTCCCTAAGTCTTATCTAAAATAACTAAACGTTTTTGGGAAAGTATATTAAACAAAATTTTATTATACACACACACACACTAAAAATAGTAGTTTGAGGAAATAACGAGGTTATATATGAATTCACAAGAGATGAATAGTTAAAATATGGATACGTTCAAAGTCGATAGAATAATGGCACGAATAACAGACAGAAAGAAATAAGAACGAAGTTTCGAGCACTCAATGTTCCCATTTTCATAGTTTTCGAAAGAAATCCTATCAATCAATAGAGAAACTCTATCTCGAGATTAGATAAGCCTTAAATCTTCTGTCTCTTAATTTACAACAGTACAGTAAGGCAGATATTGAAACGAAACCAAAGAATATTTTTGTAATACCTGGGATAAAATCTCATACTACTACTCGTCTCTTGTAAATTCATATATTATATTTCTTACCATTAGTTGAAGTATGTAATTGTGCCAATTTTCATATTTAAATAGATCAATATTTTTATTTCGGAGTTTAGCTAGCTATTTCTCGAGTTAGCAGATTTTGATAAAATAACGCTAAGACAGATTCGTGTATATTCGTTTATGTTATTATAATTGAAAAATATCCGAGTTAACGTGGATTTATTATCCTAGTACTTATTTTTTTCTTCGTTTTTCTTATTCCTTTTTTATTTTATTCAAAGCGTTTCATGGTGTTAAGTTTTTTACTTAAATATATATATATATGGTATTATAAAATTTTAGAAAATTCATAAAAAGAAATTGAATACATATTTCATTCAATACGTAGAGATATTACGTAAAATTAATAAATCCGGGAAACATAAAGCTTTACTACGGTAGAACTTTTCATAAAAATTGTGTTACCGAAGAGAGAAAAAGAGAATGAGAAGAAAAAGTATTGAAAAAGAGGAAATATTAATATAAAAATACCAACGGTATTAGATATACAATAAACCCAGCAAAAGTAAATTTTTTCTCCCTCTCCCTCTCTCTCTTTCTCTCTCTCTCTCTCTTTTTATCGCAGGGAAATGATGAAATCTTTAAGGTAGATGATCAATTCACGGAAGATATTAAAATAACAACTCTGTGGGTTGATTACCCTGAAAAAAGTAAGTGATTTGATTAAATCCCTTAAACTGTTTTAGTGAAAAGATGAAATAAACAAGTCAGGCCTCGCACAGCTCTATGAGAAGCTACAAATCAACAACGTGTTTTAATAAAAATGAATGAACATTATTATTTATTAATTACATTCACTAAAAATGTCTTTTTTGTTTTTAAAATATTAGCTTAAGTACCTATAAAAAAAATACTTTTAATATCTAAACAATATTATTTCATCTTTCCACTATAAAACAATTAAGGGATTTGATCAAATCACTTACTTTTTTTAGGGAAATCACCCCACAGAGTTGTTATTTTAACATCTTCCGTGAATCGATCATCTACTTTAGGAATTCGATTAATTCTCCATTTTTATCATCCCCTTGCAATATACATATATATTTTTATTATTTTTTTTCCTTCCCTGGAGGAGTAATTTTATATTTCGTTTTGATATGATTCCATCCATAAAGTTCTACGTTGGTCGGCTATTTTCGTATATTTCTCTTTGAAGCTCGTTCGTCGATACTTCCCGAATGAAATTTATTGTTATCGGCAGATCGTATTACATAAAGTATTTAATCATCAATACTACAAAGTATCGATTTGTATTATCTAATCGAATTATATTGAATTTGTCGTCATGTCGAAATAATTAAAATCGTTCGACGATTTATCGGGAAGTTATTGATATTCAATCTTATTATCAACGATAAAGGAATAATGTAGCTACCAACGGAATCGAGAAAAGAAAGATCTCATGTCATATCGTAAATCCCAAACATCCGTAAACAAGCATGTAACGATCGACTGACTGAGCCGACCACGAGAAAGCTTCAGGTAGAGTGTCTCTTGGATCAAACATTACGAGAAGCGTTTTGTCCCTACGTTTAAGTTCACATTTCCCTTCGTTTTATCTCGATATCGTTTAGATGATGACATCATCTTGGTCATATAAAGATTTAGTATAACAATCGTCGTTTTATCCTACCTAACGACTTGTCATTAGACGTTTTCATTAGTGTCAAATAAATTTTATTACAGATATTAAATTTCACTGATATATATGCATACATATTCATTTTCATAAATCTCTTTTCAATTTGATTTCGATAAAGCTTTAGCGAATCAACTCAGATAACTTCAAAAGAAATTTCTAGTCTATTCGAAGAAAGGAAATCTACTTTTTCCGATAATGTCTTTTCTCCTATATAAAACGATACTTTATCCGAAGGATAAACTTGCAAAGGAATCAATGATAACTTGAACGCTCGTATTCGGGAGAAAAAAATACATGCACTTACACAGACCCCACAAAGAAAGAGTAACTCTGGTTTGCAAATGGGTCTGCTTAATTCCAGTCGTTTGTCTTTCTCCACTACGGAATATTGTTCTAACGGAACGGATAATTATATGCGCGGTTTTCCACGTGTCCCGGAATAAAAACTTTGGATTCACGGAAATATTCGTCGGGCATTTAAAGTATACGTTAATTTTCTACTTTCGACCCCTAACCTCTTTACCTCTTACTTCCTATCTTTATCTCGTTTTCTCATTTCTTGTACACCCTATCGTCTCTTTTAAAACATTTTTTTTCTTTCCTTTATCCCTTTTCGTAAATTTTAAATTACCATCGACTGCTCGAATTTTCGGTACAATTTCCCTTCTGATTTGATTATATTAATAACTATTCGCATACCGTTAGTAAAAGTTCTCGAAGGAGCTTCTTCCTCTTTCTTCCAACCATCTCCCTATTTCTCTTCTTATCCTTCTCCAGTTGTTCTCGGCAGGAGGTGAAAGTACAGTAAAGGTAGAGATGGGGATTCCATTAAAGTTGTAACTACCAGCGACGTTACTACGATACGCCCACGAGCGTTTACGTTCTTACTTTAAACGTAGTACGGGGTAGATAGCTTGCTCTCGTAGATTCATTTCGACTCTTTCTCTTCCTTTCGATCTCAAATTCATTTCTTTCCCTTAAGCTGTGTAGGTATATATCTATATCTATATCCATTAAAAGGTTCCTAATTGTTGAAAGTTATCTTACACGTAAAAGTTGGCCCGTATGGTGGATCTGCTTTTCCTTTCTATCCGGTCATTCGCAGCAGCCTGACTTTGACTTTAATCCAAGAGAGTTGTTAACATTGGCCTAGGCTATATATGTATTGAATAAACTTTCATCGTGGTAGTAGTAAAGTAGGAAAACATAGTTTTCCAATATTTTTCTATCATCCTTTTTTTCGTTTTGATAAAGCTTATGTAAATTTTGTATCAAAGATTATTTCGTGGAATATAAATTCGATTGATTTACGAATACACATCTATATTCGTATACGTTTTTATGTAAAAGAGTTCAGGAGGAATAAGTATAACTCACGTAAAAGAAGGAGGAGTTGAGGGAGGAGTTTGGAGGAGGAGGAGGAGAAGATCGTAGAGGTACAGAAGCAAAATTTACGATATACGATTTGACACAGTTCCAAGCGCGCCACCGCAGAACGTGGCTTGCACCGCTTTGACCGGGCAAAACATCCAGGTGACCTGGAAACCACCACCTTCCGACAAAGTTCACGGGGTCGTGCAAGGATACAAGCTCCTGTACGAAGCAGCCAGCGGCATCGCCTCCGAATCACAGACTGGTCGAGAAACGAAAATCAGTCATGCACTTAGCACAGTATTGCATGGTTTAAGTCCTTACACGAACTACACCGTTCAGGTCTTGGCATATACCAGAGCTGGGGAAGGTGTCAGCAGCAGTCCTGTCTCTTGCACTACCGAGGAAACTGGTAAATCATTTGAAATTATTTTGTCTAGTACAAATTTCATTGATCGATCAGAATTAAATTAATAATACTAATATTATTTTCATTTGAAGAATATTGATTTTTGTTTTTATTACATTTTTCTTCTAATATTCATCGAGAGCGAAACAGTTCATTCATTCCGAAATATCCCTTATTCGACCTATTAACTATTTCAAGTGTGTAATCTAAAATCAACTGCGATAGAGTTTACGTAGAAACTATTCATGAAGTAGTTAATTTATCTATTCCTATATACGTATATATACTATGCGTATAGAATGGGTATATAATATTTCTCTATGTTAAAATCTTGATTATTCAATTACTAAACATATTTCATTTATATGAAAAATATTTGATATAATCGTTAATAAGATGAATTGAATGTGTCGACGATCATGTGATTATTGCAGTTCCGGATGCACCGGAACGTGTGAAAGCTGTATCCAGTGGGGAAGATTCGGTAGTTATATCTTGGCTACCACCTCGAAGACCAAACGGCGTTCTCACCAAATACACCGTTTTTATTCGAGTTTTGGACCAGGGCCAGGAAGTAAAAATCAGTAAGAATCCAATGTCTGCGCAAAGCTTGCATCATGAGGTGACCGGTCTGAAGTTACGCGAATCTTATGAAGCTTGGGTCGTGGCCTCGACTAAAATGGGCCAGGGTACTAACACTCCGGTCATCAAACTTCAACCAAGCACTACTGGTAAGCAAGCCTCAGGCATTTCTCCAGAACTTCCTTCACGAAATACATTCTCTTACACTAGACAGAGAGAATGAGAGGGAGAGACAGAGAATTTGTTTAGAAGCCTTCGCTCGAAACTAACGTGTTAGAGAATAATCAACTGTCTTCGTTTCATTCTTGTTAACGAGTAACTAACTTTGAGAAAGAACATGTTCGCTCGATTCTCTTTAAAATGAGATCTCAATGTCTATTTTACTGGACTAACGCTAACAATCATTTCAAAATTATTATCTTATAAGTCTTGTTCTTTTCTTATTTGGGAAAAAATATATTTTATAAGCATGACCAAGTCATTTGTTTTCAATAATATGTGATTTTTCTATAACGTCTAAGATGTGTTTTATTTTCATTAACAGATTTATCAGACAAACGTTTTCTTTTTATGTATATACAATATTTTCTATATATATTTAATAGCTAATGTTTTATGATATTGATCATGGGTGATCATTTTTAGCGAGTTGTCACCTATATCATGGATTTTGATTGCTCTCAGTCCTATGATCCATTAACGTAGTTTCCAAACATTTACTCGAATATATGGCATTTCGATTCTCGTATTACAAACGCGAATCAATCAATTTGTTAATATCGTAATATATACTAAAAAAACGTTGCAATTTGTATAAATAGTTATATTTTTGTTTTTTATTAAATTGCTAGAAACAATGAACAAAATTAAAATAGAAAAGAAAAATGAATGATCTCCTATGTTGTTGTTATCAGTTCCAGCTGCAATAATATCGTTCGGTATTCCTATCGTGGTACCATGGAGAGTCGATGTTAATATGGCGTGCCTCTCTGTTGGAACTCCACGACCTACAGTCGAGTGGAGACGAGCTGACGTGAAGCTGCATCAAAAGTAAGTAGAGGCATACTTTTCCAGTCACTCTACGAGCGATGAGCAAAGTTCTTGACTCTAAAGTAATCCTTTAATCTTGTTAGCGGTTACCTCGAACTTTCGGCATTATTTTAACGGCCATTTCGCTATAGAAAATAACTTAACACATTACTTCGAAAGCCGTTAATGAAGCTGATGGACGTATAGAGATACAGGGAAAAAGAAAAAGAACAAAAATGAAAACTAAAATGGATCGTTGTCTTGTTAAAATGAACGTAAAGCCAAATTTGTTGGTTTGATCATTATTGTTTCAGATATGATTTTGGCCCAGATAATACTTTGACTCTGAGGAACGTTCAAAGGAGTCACGAAGGTAATTACTCCTGCCATGCGAAGAACTCTTTTGGGTCTGACGAGATTACGTATACATTGCAAGTACAAGGTACGTAAGATTTTCATTTAGGGATATTAGTAAAAGCAGAGTTATTTTTTAGGAATATCGATTTTATTGTTTTTCTTTTCTTTCGAGCCAACTTTGAAACTTGAAAAAGAAGATATTTGTTTAAAAATCAATCCCGCTAAGTCAAGATAGAAAATCCGTATACAATCAATTGAGAGTGGAAACTCGTTAAAACTTAAAGTTTGAATGGTAAGATAGTCTACTTCTGCCAATACTGCGATGCATATACATAGCCTTTAATGGTAATCTTAGTGCACACAAGAAACACTTGAGGGGTTTTAAAGGTAAACCACGAGATAGGTCATTATAAGGTTACGTGTCGTTTTCCGTTTGCCATGGAGTAAGTTCACACATATATAAACAACACGAAGGTAGTAGAACTGATACGTTCTCGAAAGACGAGTGGGATATTCTCTTGTCTAAAATCGAGCATTCTAGCGGACACGAAGTCTCGCCCGATTCGTGTTCGCAGAAGGATGGATTGAAGGTGGTTGTTGTAAAGTACCAGTCAAGTTGAGTCGAGTCGAGTCGAGTCTGCGTTGCCTTCCGCCCTTGTTTCGTCGTCGAACGTCGGACAAGTTCTAATTGGTAAACTTTATGCATAGTTCCACCGACTCCGCCGACGCTTCTGGCAACCGGCACAACGACCGACGCCGTTCAGTTACAATGGAAACAGGGAGACAACGGTGGTGCACCCATTAAAGGATTTCTCTTGGCTTATCGTCGCGAATTCGCTGAATGGGAGGAAGTGCTGCTCGACCGCAGAGCCAGTACCCATCTTCTCGAGGGTTTGCAATGTGGTACCAGGTATCAGTTCACTCTCGCTGCCTTCAATAAAATAGGCAGCGGTAGTGCTAGCAAAATTGAAACTGCCAAGACTAATGGTTCCAAACCTATACCACCTTCCAAGCATCATCTTATCAAAGTCAATCAGACCGCTGCAAGTTTAGAATTAGCTTCCTGGCAAGACGGAGGCTGCCCGCTCCTTTATTTTGTCGTGGAATATAAAAGGCCACCTGGCGATTGGTTGTTAGGTAAACCATATCGTTACTCTCCATTTCGATGATAACGTTAACAAGCGTTTCAGAAAGTCCTCCATGTACCTTTCAGTTGAGAATAATTTACCACCCCAATTGAGATATACCATCAATAATCTCGAGAGCGGAACGAACTACGAGCTTCGTGTGACAGCTTACAACAATGCGGGATCCACCCAGGCCGAGTACTTGTTCAGCACGCTGTCACAGAACGGCAACATCCGGCTGCACGAGGACCAACCCCAGGAATCTGAAAATACGCCCCTATATCTTGACGCTCACGTACTGGCACCGAGCGTCATCTCGGTTCTCGCTGTAATCCTAGCTGTAGCCGGTGTTTGTTTTTGTTTAAAAACACGTAAGTATTGTCTTCTTATTTTTTTTCCCCCTGACAAACAAATGATGTATTTGATATCCATAGGATTATGGGTTCGAGCTCATAGAATGTTCCTTTTTTCTTCTTCTTTCTTTTTTTCAATACGAATTTTCTATAAGTTTATACATTTAACTGACGAATAAATTTATCATTATCTTTTCATTTTTCTTCATAGTTCTGAGTATCGTCAGTTTCGATAGACAAATCGATTTGCCAACGAGTCAATGAGAAGTGCTACCGAAGTTCATAAATCTACGTGTCGATAGGTTGACTGTATACGTACACGACCATCCCATCACCAATTTGCATAAGCCAGAGGGAATGCTCTATGGTACTCCCTTCCTCTCTACCGCTATCAAAGCCACTTGTCGCGCAGACAAGAGTAACCAAATATCGAAGAGTCGTACTCCAATTACGAGAGAGAGAGAGGAAAGTACCAAGCTTTTAAGAGTTTCTACTCCTCACCGTCGTTGGGATTTCACTTGAACGAGTGGAAAGCAAGAAACGACCGAAGAATTTCTATAAAACTCACTTGACTCTCTCGTCTCATCGGTTTTTACTTAAACCAGACGATGCAATATCATTCATGCATGAGTTTGGAAACCTTTTTCTTTTTCTCTTTCTACAATGTTTTTAACTAGTTTGGAAAGTGAATTTAACATTTTGACTAATACGTTATCTTCCGTCATTTTTTATAATTCATCCCTAGTTGAGAAATATTTTTAAACGCTTTTCATGAAATTCTAATCCTACCAAAATTTATATACGTATATCTTTCCTACGTATATCACCTTTTCTCTCGTGGTTTCTAGGGACTACGAAGCTACCTAATTATACATTACTTCGGTCGAGTTAAATAATGCAGTAGATTCGGCCGTAACTTCGCACCGTAAACTTTCCGACGTCACTACCTGTAATAGTTTCATGAGGGCTTTAAAAGCGTGGATGACATTTGAAATTAGAAAACACGATGGCAATATCCGTTTACGAGGATCACCCTTTTCCTTGTTCCTTTCTCTCTTTCATTTTCTCGGAAATGATAGTTTTACCTCTCTAAACGTATTATAATCGATGATTTGATTTCGTTCATTTCAGATCCAGAAAGATCAGGGGTCGTGAACGATCCGAATTCGCAAACACAGGTGGCTCTGGACAATAAACAAAATACCGAGCAAAGGGAACAGTATTACGCGACTGTAAGGAAACCTGGACAACAATCACCACCCTGCCGTGAGGTGAGCGCCCTGAAACGAATACCAGAATATCCTGAAGACATTTATCCGTACGCGACCTTCAATGTGCCCGAGCAGGAAAATCCAACGCGACAGGCATTTTTCTACGAACGCAGCGAGACGATGCTTCAGGGTGCTCAAGTGAGTATAAAATATTGATACCTTTAATATTACGCTTATTATTATTACTTTTTCTTTTCTTTCGTTACAGAATAAAAGATTTCAGTGCGATGTGGATCAATACACAAAAGTACGTGGTCGAGCACGTCGCAAATCCAAATCATTCAAATCGGAATCCGAGGAATACGACACATTAGGTTCGGACAGCGACACTGAAGTTGGTACCAGCAGCCGCACCGAATCATCCAATCATCTAGACGATTCCGGGCCAACGTCCCTGATGGCTAGATCACCTGGACCAAACTCCGTCGGTCAGAGGGAACAACGACTAGCCTTGGTCCCGGTTCATCATAGTAAGTTAGTATTCGGTTTTCTGTGTCGAAGCCACCCACAGCTTTATATATTCAGCCGCTACTAACCACTCACCTTTACCGCATCAACGTGTCGCGTGCACATTCCAGATGTGCTGTACATTTCGAGTACATCAACGGAGCCGTCACCAATTTCTGAGAGGAAGACTTTTCCCAGGCTCGAAAAACAAAGGTCAAATAATTGCGTCTTCAATGAATTCATTTTCTTTAACACAGCTGCATTCATATATTTCAAATATTTTTTGTTTATTTTTCTTTCTTTTTTTTTCTAATAAATTAATATTCGCAAAATATATTATTGTTTACTATACTTAAATGTAGCCCTCGTTAATAAATGAGTTAGACATGCTTAAAACGTATAGAAACATTTAGGTTTCTAATGAAAATGTTAATGTTAATTTAATTATGGAATAGAAGTCGAGGAGCAACACCAGATATCTCGATCGATGGACGTGTACCAGGGATGCTGCGAGCCGTGAAACTCTCGGAATCAGGAATGCATCCTTACTCGAGAGGCACGTCACCGAGTCACCCGAGTCACCCGAATCGTCAAGGTTCCTGCGACCGATTAGGGAAGGAACAGAATTCGAGGAAATCGGTGGAATCCCTGTGTCTTCTCGAGGAACCAGGTTCTTCGAGGATGAGCAGGAGAGACGATGATTGGGGCAGCGAGCTTTCCACATTGGAATTGAAACCACCAACGGGCTTCACGGATGCTCACGAGACCAGCGAGGCCGAATGCGACATAGACATGAAGTTAAGGCTTCACAGGAAGAGAAACGCTCTCGCTTCTAACAGCTCGCTGTCTAAATCGCCGAAGGACTTTACTATTACTGTCTAAGTGTTAATCAAATATCAAACTACAATCGAACAAAAAAAAAGTAAAATTAAGTCAAATAAAATAAAATAAAACAGAAGTATAATAAATCCAAGAACGGGATAAAAGATTACAGAAATTTAACGAACGAACGAACGAACATAATAATAATAATAATAATAATAAAGAAGCATGCAAATGAAGAAAAGAAAACAAAAAAATAATAAAAATTGAGCATGATTGAATGTTATTTCAAAGGAAAAAAGAAAAAAGAGTCGCATTTCTTCGTCGTAAAAAAAGAAACTCATTCATTCGACGACGAATTCGTTCTGCCAAAGCTGCTTCGCTAACACGAAGAATTTCAGATTGACTTGTCTTTACGAACAACTGCTACGTCGACGATCCCATTTACAATAAAGACGTATTTTTGTAGAAAAGCCTCGATCTAGTGATATGTTTTTTTAACATTCTTTTCTAATTTCCTCTTCCTCTTCTTTATCCTCTACGTAATACATTACTCTGGAATATCTAGGATTAAAAAAAAATATAAGCAACAGAAAATAATCAAATTGAATTGAATTTCAGTAAAATATGAATCAAAATTTAAACGATCTAATCGTAAATTCAGTGATTTTCCGACCATGAGAAATGATATCTAGTTAAATATAAACGTTGGCAACGTAAATGCCATTTAGTAGTTACGGTTATAAATGAAACGTCAATCAAACTTAATTGCGAAGCTTATCAACAGCGCGTCAATCAAACTATACCCTGAGAGACAGAAATTCGATTCTCCAACAAAATTCCGGAGAGGTGGTGGAATTGAGAGAAAACTAGAGAGAGAATGAGAGAGACTATCATTGTCTCGTATCGACGGTTGATAAATAAGATATTCGTAACAAGTAGTTCGTTGTCGACGTCTTCCAATTCTGGGCTCCCTTATTAAGTTGAAAGAGAAAGAGAGAGGGAGAGAGGTAGAGAAAGAACGCGATTATTTAAAATTTTAATGAAATAATGTAGTTGTGATTCCTAATACATTTATTTCTTCATCCGTCATTTGTTAGATCACATTGAGTGCAAGTACACATTACAAATTTCGTGCTTTTCGTATTTTCGTTACATGATGCATTAGGCGTACGATTATGTCGTGATTTTCACGAGTTTTGAAAAATCCTTGTCATTATAAAATAATTACGCACGCGCGAACGGTGATATATAGCCATTCGATCAGACTCACTCTATATAAATTATTTTTTATCGGTGTTTATAATAAAAATTATGGCATCCGTTATTTTGTGGAACTATCCGAGAAGAGTAACACTGTATTCATTTATTTCACTTTGTTTTTTCTTTTTTAATGCATTCACTTTTATATTTTTATATGTAATTCATTAGGTACGAAGTTACATACGTATATATGGTTACGAAGTTAATTTAATGCGTATGCATATTATGCAGATACTTATAACATATCTCATGAAGAATTGCTGATCTCTTTCGATCATTTCTTCATATTTATATTAACAATAATTAATAGCATAAAATTAATAAATATAAAATAACAAAGCTGGAAAAACAAAAATTTATACAAATTTTGTTCGAATTTAAAAATAAGCAATTTATACTTTCTGTTTCATTAATTGACATTAATTCACTTACCTGTTAACATCTCGTATCAAGGTGAAAATTCTTATTAATTATTTCAAAACGTTGCCAAAGTTAGCGATTCCATTTGATCTTTCTAAACTTGTTAGATTTATCGAAAAATTTCTAACAAAAAATTCCGAAATAAAGTAAAAAGAAGATGTGAAAAATAAAAAATTGGAAGTTACTTTTTCTTTTTATCGATCAGCTGTTCCTCAATGTAGAAATAAGATGAGCAATAATTCACGTTGACGTAAAAGCGTAACGCGTAGTTCATAATTTAGATCACTCGACAACGTTCGATTCGAGACGACATACAATCTTTATTTTTTTCTTTTCTCGTAGACATTATCAGTAATCGTTTTGTACAAATAGAAGTGTGACACGATAGCGTGCCATTATTCGAGTCGCAATTCAGCTTCTCGTTTTTTAATTTCTTTATCTTTGCGTATTTTTCCTCCTCCGTTTTCTATTATTTTAATTCTTATTTTATTTATATATCTTACTTTTATTTTCTTTTTTTTTTTAACGCAAGGAATATAATTCCCCGCAACGATTATATATGCGCATATACAAGGTGTGTCATTAAAACAATTTTATCAAACTTCAGTAACGCATTCTGTGTCGAGAATGTCATGGCAATATAAAAAGTTTTATGCTAAAAGTAAGCCCTATTGACAGAAACTTGGAAAATCGTTGTGCTTGTGTTGATTGTTGTTTCTTTAACAATTTATTATCGATTCGAGTCATTGTTTTTTTCTTATTTTATTTTAAATAGAATTACGTAGTCGAAGATTGGTTCCGAAACTTTGATATAAACACCCTGCATATGCATAGAAATATATCTTCTTTTATGGCTTTCACTGAAACGAGCAATAAGCATCCTTTCGTCTATCCGAGCGAAAAATTACTTTTCTTATTCTTTTCTTCTCTTTCTTTTTTATTGTTATTTTTTTATTTTTTTTTATTTGCGCTTTTTCTTTATTATTTTCTTTTTTTTATTATAATATTCTTTCCTTCAGCTAAAAAGGCAGTGAGAAATAACGATACATACATACGTAGAAAAAAAGAATTCGAGATTATTGTTCTCGATTAACACAATCTTTGATCATCATTTTTTTTTACACATCATAGATCTCTTATCATTGTTTATATGAATGTGACAAAAATGAATGCTCATCGTTGTTTTGTGTTATTAACGTGTTTTTGATAAGAAAAAATCAATTATAACATTGTAGAAGGTTTAAAGACAGAGAGAAAGAGAGCGAGAGAGAGAGAGAGAGAGAGAGAGAAAGAGAATAATAGAGAGAGAGAGAGAGAAGGAAAGAGAAACAGAAGTGATTTCATTTGAATTCAAATCGTCGATTCGTTTCGACAATCTTCGCTGTTCTCGAAGGATCAAATTTCCCTTACGTTTAAAATATCGATAAAGTTTCTTTAGTTTTTTAGTATCTGAAACATCATTGATACGCGTTTTACAAATGCTCACGATTATAATCGTGTAGGCCTGCATACGAAATTGCATCTATTTCTCAATGCATTCATTCATTTTCGATGTCAGACAATTTTGGTTAATGATAATGAAAAAGAAAGGAAAACAAAAAAATATAGTAAAAAAAAAAGTGTAATCAAAATAATATGAACGATAGAGGTGATTCTGTGAAGAGATATGAATGAAATGAATTCATGTGAAAATGAATTTTGTACCTATCTAAAGCATGTAGATAAGATACAAACAAAAAAAGTATGTAAAGATAATAAGATAATGTATATGTAATAATATATATCAGGATAAACAATAAAACATCGAAAGGATACTTACAAAAAGATTTACATGTATTAATAATTACTCATTTTCGCTATTTTAACGGCATAGTCACAGCACGTGCATGTGCAAAGTCTAAAAAGGTATCGATCCGGTGTGTGTGTGTTTATTATTTTCTTTTTTTTTTTTTACTTTAAACGAAAATATTTCTTTACGATATTATATAAGGTGTATAATAACGATAGTAAGTATGAGGGACAATCATTCCTACTTGTGTAAAAGTAAAGAATCTCCTTTCCTGAATAAACAGTCGTAAACGCAGCCTCATTTTTAAGGATAGGTAGGATCCGTTTATGTATATCAATGTATTCATGGGTGTCAATGATATTTAGATTCCTTCTTCTCACCTTTCTTTCAGCACGATCGATTGCAAAACAATAAGTATAGAAAGGGAAGAGAAGAAGGAAGATCAACGAAGAAAATTTTACAATTCTGTTTATAAAACAAATCTTGATTATATCAGAAAAATATAAATCAAAGTGAAAATGAGAAAAAGATACAATGAAAAAACAAAAGAAAAGTAAATCAAGAGTAAGAAAAAAAAAGAAACTAAAGAAATTTTGAAAAGAACGTGTGTGCGTCGCCTTACGAATATTACGTTGACTAGAGTCTAAATTATTTGTCTAATATATACACCTAATGTTGTTTTTTTTTATTTACGAATTATACGCGATAGATTGTAACCCTTGATCTATTTACGCGATCGTTCTTATATAGAATATATATCATATATATAATATATGTGATATATATATGTATGTATATATATATGTATATATGTATATATATACATACATCGTCGTATTTAGGCGCCTATTTCTGCTTGCTTACCTGCTTTTCTTCTTATACCTCATATTTTTTTGTTCTTCTCCGTTATCCATATAAATACATATACAATAATTACGTAATGTCGTAAATTACAATACAGTGTTATCCGCTCGTGTTCGACGAGATAGCGCATCGCATGACAAGTTTTCGATCGGACATTAGGAATGAGAAGTAGAAGAATGTTAGAAAAGAAAACAAATAAGAAAGACACAAAAGTTTGTCTATTCTCATTTTAGACGCTAAAAATGTGTTTTTCTCTTCGGGAAGAAATAGCGAGGCGATATCTCGTCCAATACAAATCCTTCGAACGATGTCTCTCATCGCCAGAACTTTAATCCTTTTCTCGTCATTTCCCGACAGCTATTTTCATATCATAAATATCTGTATATAATATATTTTATCTGAAATTTTAACGCGAACGCTCGTGCGTGTACCTTATGCGATTTATTTATTAATATTGAATTATTATTTATTTTTCATGTTTATCTCTTTTTTTGTTTCTTTATGGGAGTAATTAATTGTTATTTAACAGTGTGCGCCACACCGCGTGTATGTTTGTCTGAAAACGTCTCCTAATTCTCTTTTCTTATTCTTGTTTCTTTTTTTTCTTCTTTTGCGTATATAATAATATAATATAATATAATGTAATATAATATAATATAATATAATATCATATAATATAATTATAATATATAATATAATCATATAATATAATCATATAATATAATATATTGTTCCTGTTCATCATCTTAAACAACATATAACTCCGATAAACATTGTCTTTACACGTATCATCTAGTTTGGACATCTCGACGAAAAATCGATTCGACTACTCGAACAGTTCTCCTACGTACCAACACACGTATGAACTTTTACTAGAGTCGTTATCGATATCGAAAATTAATTCATTAATTATGGCTAATTACACTGCGACAGGTATACATATATGATACAAATATTTTTCTCTTTCTGTTTCTGCTTCTTCTTCTTCTTCTTCTTATTCTTCTTTTTCTTTCTTCGTTTTACGAATTATTAACTTCTTCTTTCTTTTTTTCTTCTTCTTTTTCTTTTTGTCCGATCAATACAAAAGATCGATCATCGTTTAAAAATTTGGAAATCAAATTGAAAGAAGAAGATAAAAAAAGAAAAAAAGGAAGAAATTTATCTTCATTTCTATTCTTTAATCTCTTCTTACGAAGTTCGAAGGCTCATGATCGATACTCTATCTCACGGTACAATAAATAACTCTCGATACTCGAGATTCGACTCGAATCGTGCTCAAGTTCTTAAATCGTACAACATTATAATTATAATTACAAGTTACGCACAGCCGCTTGAAGAAAAACGAGAGGGGAATCGTAAAATCGTTTTGCGAGATCGAAGTCGATCATAAAAACTTTCGAGACGACGTCACACGTTCTCTTTTCTTTCTTCTTTTTTTCTTTTTTTTCTTGTTTTCTTATAGTTTTCCTTATTCATGTTTCTTTTCCCTCTCCATTTCTACCGATCGATTTCTTTCTCAACGTCATCGTACAATAATTATTCGATTAATTTCAAACGATCAATTACAACTCCATATGGGATCAAAATAATCGATATCTACAAATACTCGACAAATTATTTCCTTCAATTTTTTACGTTTAATTAAAATATTAATAATGGCAATTATTGAAACAGTAGTTTTTATAATAGGTTTATCCTTCTTTGCTCGTGTCCCACGATCAGTAAAAAGGAGAACAAATCGAGTTGATAGAACAATCGAAGCTTATTATTAGTCTATCATTCATCGCATGATAAAACGAATCATGTGTCTCATCTATTTGGTTGAACCTAACAAGATACAATATGATTAGTCAAAGAGTTTCAAGAAAGACGAATGGCAAGCGATTCAGAATTTTCTTTACAGTTCATAACATATAAAAATTCTATAGATCCATATCTATCGTGAATAAGACGAAGATAAAATATCGTAATTTAGTGTTTACATCTTTGTCTTGTACAGTTCGATACGTTTACTATGTGACACACGATCCATCTTTTATACAATGTGGTCATTGAACACACACACACACACATACGTACAAATAAATTTACAGCATAAGCATATACATATACGTAGAGACTCTCTTTTTCTCTCTCTCGCACACACACACACATTCGAACTCTCATTCTATCCTTCACGTCATATATTGTACACATTTTCCATCTGCTCTCTCCCTTCCTTTCAATCATTGCTTACATTAATGTCTCTAAAAGTTATTTAACAAGAAACAAGTACTTCAGTCTTCGTGTGTGTATATACCGCGCGCGCGCGAACGTATTGACAAAAGGAAATGGCAACGAGGCACCGGCAATATGGCCACTGGAAGAGAATGCCAAAGAGTTGTTTAAGAACAACAACGTGTGTTTGAACGTTCGACGCACCATTTTCCGCACTTTCTATGGAATTATCATTCTATTTTTATTTTTTTTTTATTTTGTTCGCTTTTCGTAATTACCATTATTATTTGCTTATTTGTTTATTATTTATTTATTTTTTTTTTTAAATATTTTCTTTCGAAACGTGCGATTAGCTTCTTCGGAGTAAAAAATCACGCGTTCATCCCGATTGAATTTTTGTTCGCATTTTACGTACAACGAAGAGATGACCCGTACTGATTGCGTCCAAAAGAAAAGACAAATTCAGTTTTTTTTTCTTCTTATTTTCATCGATAATAAAAAAAATCGATTACCTAATTTAAATGTTATATTTCAAATTATTTCCGTAGGTAGACGTATATATTCGAATTTTTGGACGCAACCATTTCCGATCTGTTGTCGTCAATGCGTCACGACGAACCAATGGCAGGACTCGAAATCATTGTTAAAAAAAAGATTTCGCATAGCAAAGATTAGATTAGAATGAAATGTGCACGAAACAAGAGTGGTCGCGGTCTTTTTTCTTCTTTTTTCTTATCTTGACCGATTATCTATACTTAGAATTTACTGACTCACATTGTGCTCATCATATTTACGTATGACTTTGCTCTAATATATTGAATAATTATAACAAAAATAATAATAATAATATTAATAATAAAGTCAATTAATGAAAATAAAAATACGAGTAATAATTAAAAAGAATAATAATATTAAATAGCAGAAAGAAATTATGCAGCGTTTGGAACGTTCATCCTCGATAAAATATCACGATTGTCATCGGCATCATTCGCCTCGCTGCATCGTTATGCTTAAAAAATGTTATTTGTTTACAAGAGAGAAAGAGAGAGAGAGAGAAAAAAGATGCGTAAATAATGATTATGATGATGATGGTGACGATGATATAACGATAATGAAAGACGGTCAATGCGATTACATTAATAAAATTATAGAAATTATCGACAGATTTATATTCGTACGGCTTTGAAACTTGAATCATTTCGAATTACTCTATGCATATGTAATATATTTATAAATATTTTTTATAAATATTTAGGTAGGTTTTTCTTATTTTTCCTTGTCTTTTACACTTCAAAGTCGTACGACGTTTGTGGCGTTTAAAGCATTTCGAACGAATAAATCGAATCGTTAACGCAGGGGCGCAATCGAACGCTCGATTCGTCATATTAAGACGTAATAATAAAAAAATGAGAGAGGGCAGACACGAAGGTTCACTCGAGCGATAATAGACGAGTGATATCGTTTTTTTGTAATCGTAGATATCATCTTCCATACACTTACGATATAATTGTGAACTGGATCTGATCCAATCATATGTCATCATCACAAGTGGTTAATGTGTATAGATATTACAGTTATATTTATAT